AAAAAACTACGATTTTAGGTAAAAATCGCCATGAGTGCAACTTGTTGTTAAAATTCAGGTGCAGTTTCAATTTGTTTTATTGACGGATACGATGTACAGTCCTTTGCCACCAGATTTGCTTCCACCTGGTGAAGATTTGACAATGCGACCATATCCGAAGACGGTTGTTGCGGTGCAAGTGCAGGATCTGAAGAACGGCGCAACACACTATTGGAGCATCGAAAAATTAAAGTAGTACTTTGATTTCTTTTTCAACAAGTACTACCCTACGCCGCTGCCCAACTCCACTCGCGGCTTTTGAAAACTGATCAAAAAATTATTTGATTGAGATCGAGGCCGCCAGCTGTTCTTCGATTTCAAGCCTCTTTTATTATAACCGCCTTTGATCGTATCCGACATTACTATAATATGAAAATTGTAAAAATTGAAGGCAGCGATTGGAGTTAATGCGCGAAATGTATCAGATTGAGGAAGAGTACAGTCCCGGTAGCCCAGGAGATCCGATGATGAATGCGCTAATGGGCATGGATCCTTTTTACGATCGATTTCCATGGTTTCGAATGATTGGAAGGTTATTTTGTGTTCTATCAAAGCTTTTACTTTATTATTCAGACTGACGAAATTTGCAACTTTTCCATGACTAACGCAAACAATTTTAAGGGCCTTTGTTTATCTAAACAATCTGGTACACAATGTACCACTACTGCACAAAGTAGTGATTGTAAACGAGAAAGCGGAGGTCCAAGGCCATCTTCGTGTCGCAGTCGAGCCAGTCATAGACGGTATGTTCTACTAAGCAATTATTTTCACATCTAATCACACCTATGATCAGCTTTGGTTTAGAAAAGGATAAGAAGAGTTGTGAGAAAGTGCAGGTGTAGTTTAACATTCTTTTAATAGAACTTATAGTAACTGTACTAACATTTGTACCATCTCATTTTCTTGTAAAAACATCATTTGATAGATAATAGATAACTCCTTTCTACAAATTTTCCGAGAAATCTTTAACTAAAATAATTTTCGAGGCAACCTTTCAAATGTGCTTCATTTTTTCTTGAAAAATACTTCGGCAATATCACATTCTCAAGATATCAAAACTGGAAAACACGGAGGTGAATTAATGTAACGTTGTGTTCTGTAGATGAAATAAAGCAGTGCAAAGGAGTTCAACAGTCTGTCAAATGCCACTTTCGCAAAGAAGACTTTGTGAAGCAAGCACAGCGTGCAGATGCTACTATGGAATCGAGTAACGAGCGCTTTGTTGAGGGAATAAACACGAAGGATGATGAGACGCAGCAAGTAGTCGGTATCATACAGACATATTTCTAACATTTTTCCACTTATGAAACATTCCAAAAACTCAATTGGTAGGAAAAAAAACTGCATTAGAGATACATATTATTATATTTGCCAAGCCATAAAGAAATTTTTTATGGGAATCCGATGTTAGTTATGTTTTTGAAATGCTCCAAAGCAATTATCACAGCTACGTTAGGGGCTTCTGCAGTTAATTCCCTCGTGCTTTGCGCCACCTTTTCAAACGCCACCGAAGTGCAGGTACTGCTCGCCAATAATATGACGTTTACCACCGGTGCTGGATTTCACTTTTTGCTTATCGGATTTCACTTCCCTCTTACGTCGTCACAACGAAATTTCTCGGGCCGTTCAGCAGGCGGAATGTGTAAATGTTCTGTGGCTGTGAAGAGACATGCCAGCATTCTTCAAAGCATCGTTCTGCCTGTGACAGCTAGCATTCCTACCCAGTGACCACATTTTATATTTGCCCTTCATCTAGAAGCACAAGACACAAAATACGGAACTGTGCTTGAAAATTGAAGCATCAAAGAAAAAAGTGATGCGAAGTACCGGTATGCTCATGGCAAAATTGCACACAGACGGTGTTGATTTGGGAGATGTTGACGGCTACGTCTTTCTTTGTCAAGAAGTAAATATGCCCCAGAATCTCCAGCCGTTATATTATTGTACTGTTATGAACAAAGGACACGAAGAATGGAGCAGGCAAGCATCCGCCAGATGATCTGCTTAAATAAGGCTGAATGAGTGAATGGGACATTTTCTTGTATCGTCAGGAGCGCGCTCACTGCCGCATAATCGTCTTCACACTGTAGTCGCCGCGATCCCATCGGATCTGTGTCTTTGTGTTGGGTATTTTATGTGTTGAGGGCCCCTGTATAGTACCGATTGGCTCTTCTGGATAGTTTGGATAATAAAGTACATGTAAACTCAAATATGAGTATGAAACCATATAAAATTGTTTGCTTTGTGTACTAATATTAAAGGAACTGCAGAGAAAGTGGATGAAGAAGATGAGCAGTATCCGGAGCATATGCAGCCCGATACGGAATACTACTTCCGTATTACAGTTATTGAGGCTTCCGGTATTTCCGAACAGTATGGCGACGTCTTCTGTCAGTTCAAGTCAGCACATTACCACTTTTCTGACAGCAAGCACTTGTTTCAAGTTTGATTAGTTATGATATTTTTTCAGTTTTCTGCATCGTCATGATGAAGCATTTTCAACAGAACCTATGAAAAATACTTCAAAAACTCCACTCACTTTTAATCACGTCCAGGTAAGCAGACTATGGTATTTGGTAAATACAGTGCGGGTTCATCTTAATTAAGCTTGACGTCCTGGCAGAAGAAACGTCAAGAATTTGGTTCCTCGTCAAGAATATTAGTACTAGCATTAGCGGACGATGCATTATGGTATTCTTAGTGTGCTACTAAATAGTACATTATAACCTGACAAGCTGTTCAAAAAACCGTTATAACAAGTTAAAAAGAGTTTCTGTTTATTTTATCTTGTTCTTGTACTGTGAACATTCAGATTTGTTTAAATTAATATTAAAATTAAAAAAAAAAAA